AGTTAGACTATCTCGGATAAAGAACAAACTTTTATCTACTATCAGCTCAAAGGTTTAAAACAATGGGCGGAACACTTTAAGGAACAATTTGGCTGACTTTCAGCTACTCTACAACTACGTACTATTACCAGACAACCTGAATAAAACATTGAAGTAGGTTCCCCGACTGGAAGTGAAGTTCAAAAGGATATAGCTAATGTGAAACGAGTAAAACCAGCTGATCCAGATGGATTGACCTTAGAGGTCTTTAAGTATGGTGGTCCAGATTTAGTGATTAGATTGACTAATATTTTACATAAAATATGGGAATTGAGTGTAATCCCATTAGACTGGTCACAATCAATGATCATCCTAATATATAAGAAGTAGTCGAAGTCATCCTGTAATAACCATAGAGGGATTAGTTTGACTAACATAGCATCTAAAATAGTAGCATCAATAATTATCGGACGCTTAACAAAGGCTCTTGAGCTGCAAATACGAGGAAATCAGGCTGGTTTCAGATCTGATCATGGTTGCATCGACCACATATTCACCATTCGCCAGGTTCTAGAACACAGGCGTACTTATCGGCGTTCGACAATGGTGGTCTTTCTTGACTCAAAAGCAGCATTTAACTCTGTACGCGGAGAGGTTCTTTGCAGCGTCTCTAATTGAAAGGTGTACCTCAGAAGTACATAAACCTTGTGAAGGCTCTTCACTCGAACACTACTATTTGAGTCACGGCTTATGATAAACTGTTATCTGCTTTTGCAACGTCAAGTGTCGTCTGTCAAGGCTGTCCACTATCTCCATTTTTGTTTGATTTGATCATAGATCTACTGATGGAATTAAAGCTTGCATCGACTGAATTCTCGGTCATTGATCTCTTACCAGAAGGTCCACTTATAGACTTAGAATACACAAATGAAATAGTCCTGTTTGGTGAAAACTCTGATAAAATAAAAAGTCTTTTGGTAGCATTGAGTATTAATTCCCGGGTGTTCGGGATGCGCTTCTCTCCCTCTAAATGCAAGTTGTTGCTTCAGAACTGGCCTGCGTCAACACATGAACTAAGGATAGGGAGTAAAGTAGTCAAACACGTTGACAACTTCACTTATCTTTGATGTCCCATAAACCCTAATGGGTTGGTTTCTGACGAAATCGCTGCATGAATTCAGAAAGCTCGTTTTAGTCTTGTTAACTTACGTCGTCTATGGAGAAGGCGAGATGTCCATCTATCAAACAAGGGGCGAGTATAATGTGTGGCAGTTCGTTCTGTTCTACTTTACGGCTGCGAAACGTGACTATTAACAGTAGAAGATATTCGTAAGCTACTAGTTTTGATCACAGATGTCTTAGAAATATTGCGAGGATAGGCAAAGGAACGGCCGCATTCCTTCAATTAAAGAACATATGGAACTCAAAACAAATGTCAACCAATATCAAAGTCACAATCTTCAATACGAACATCAAGGCAGTTCTACTGTACGGAGCTGAAACGTGGATAACTACAACAACCACCATCATAAAGGTACAAGTATTTATAAATAGCTGTCTACATAAGATACCCAATATCCATTATCCGGATACCATCAGCAACAACCTACTGTGAGAGGGAACCAACCAGCTTCTAGCTGAAGAGAAAATTAGGAAAAGACGATGGAAATGGATAGGACATACATTGAGGAAATCATCAAACTGCATCACGAGTCAAGCCCTAACTTGGAATCCTGAAGAGAAGTGGAAAAGAAGAGGACCAAAGGTCACATTACGTTGGGAAATAGAATGAGATATGAAAAGGATGAATAACAACTGGAAAGAGCTGGAAAGGATTGTCCAAGACAAGGTTGGATGAGGAATGATAGTGAGCGGCCTATGCTCCTTCACGAGGAATAACAGGCGGAAGTAAGTAAATAAGTAAGTACTAGTATTCAGTCTATACATCATCTTATTCAGGTCAAATATCAAACTAATCACAGTTCATAATAATGAAACATAATAAAACTGATCAACTTACTCTTATTATGTAATATGCTTGATTTCTTGTTTCTTCACCTTCTGGTGGTGCCATTAATGCTGTGATTATTTCATAACTGTATTGAAGTATTTTATAATGAGTAAAAAAAAATCAAAATTATTTCAATAGTTGAAATCATGAGTCAATTGAAATTAGACCGCTATGGAAAACCTGGAACCACTGGACAACCGTTTCGTCCTAGTATGGGACTTCTCAGAAGTGCTCATCCATAATCCCGCTTCCCCCTCCCATGAGATTCGAATCCAGTGCTTCCAGGTATTCGATGGTGGTCTAGTTTCAATTGACTTATGATTTCAACTATTGAAATTACTAAAATCTCCATAAAATCCATTCTGATAATTAAAATGATGTCTGTTTAAGATAATGATAGTAATCTAGAAAATGTATTCATTATAACCTAACTCCACCTGGAGTCCTTCCGGGAGCTACTGCCGGTCCCAAGCCCGGATAAAGGAGGAGGGTTGGGCATGGGGTTAGTGACCCCATCCCGTAGAAAACTAACTCGCTAAAAAAAACGCTAACCAGAAAAATTCATTATAACCTGAGACTTATAAGCACAGAGATCTATCCAGAATTCTCGACTATATTCCTTCAAAAGTACACTTAATGTGATAGGTTCCGCTATTTTAAATTTCTTTTAATCAAATAATTATAAGCATAGATGGATAGTAGTTAGTAGTAGAATCTAAGACAAAATACATTTCGTCCTATTTAAGACTCATCAGTTGGATGTACCTACATCTTAGAGTTGATATTCACTCTAAGACTAAAACCGATTACCGTTCTCTACAAACTTTATGAAGTTATCCAATTGGTTACTGAATCCTGATAGTTAATTGTTTGTGCAAAGGAATGATTATTAAACTCACTTGGTGTTGTTTCCTTCTATCCTTTTTATAATTAATATAAAGTATTGAATAAAGTAAGTATTATCATTGATAATATAGTTCTACTATATGGAACTAAAACTTCAAGAACTTCCACAATCATCATCAAGAAGGAACAAATATTTATAAACAATTGTTTATGTAAGATACTCAATATCCATTGACTGGATACCATCGGTAACAATCTTCTATGAGAAAGAACAAACCAACTTTCAATCAAAGAGAAAATTAGGAAAAGATATTGCAAGTGGATAGAATATACACTATGATAATCATTAAACTACATCACGAAGCATGTACCAACTTGATATCCTCAAGGGAAACGAAAATAAGGAAGGTTAAAGAACACACCACACCGGGAATCGAAAACAGATATCAAAAGGATCAATATCAACTGGAAAGAACTTGGGAAGGATTATTGATGACAGAGTTAAATGGAAGATGCTGATGGGTGTCGAATGCTTCTACATGAAGAGTAACGGGCGTAAATAAAATACTCTAGTTGATACCATGGATACCATAAATATATGTGGTTAATTAATATTGATTAGTAAAACATGGAAGAAGAATTGCAATAACAAATCAAATTGATTGAATGATGTTATAACTTGTAGCCAGCTGCCCTATTAATATATATGTAATGATACAGCCAATTAGTGAACAATGATTTATCGACCGGACCAATGACTTGTACGAACAGTCTAGAGCGCTTATCGATCCTGCTTCCAGTCTAGCCCTGACTGTTGAGTCCAGAACACCAATGAGATGGTGGAGAAGATTTGTAGCTCAGGTGGATGATTTTGATGGAGTTTTGTTCTCTGAGCTGGATAGTTTGGTCGTGGAGCTTTCATCATTCTTCTGAACGACATTATCAGCACAAACTTCAGAACAACAATCTCAGCCTCTTCAATATGAATCATGTATTTCAATCATACTGAGTTTACATACAAACCAAATAGATCACATCGTGTCATAAACTAGAAAACAACAGTAGTACAAGATCTATCCAAAAGTAGCTATGAATGTGGTAGACTGTAACCAATAGACTGGATATGAATCAAGAACAGTATATTGTATGGGTCAAAATAGAGCTTATAATAGGTGTCGAGTCACCTAAACTGGTGACCACATTGCAACATGATCGATAGCATTCGATCAGCACTAATAATAAGGACTAGACACGCATGACATTGGTCACCTAGTGATCAATCAATTGTGAGGAGAAACATGTATATGTATATATATGTAGTGTTGGTTCATAAATAGATCCGAACAGTTACCATTCATTATTCTCGTCAGGTTATAACAAATCAACAGTTTTACATATTAGAACAACTTTAGTTATTGGATTATATTGAAAACCAGGAAGAACTAGAGTTCATCCACGTTTGACATAAGATATATATAACAAACGGCAGTTCACTTTAGTATCATACTATCATGATGTAATGAAACTTAGTAATCTATACTGTTGGGTAGCAACTCAATAAACTGAGAAATAAACTCTGATCATAAAACTTAAAGGTCCTGATTTCAATCTTTGTTTGAAATCGTTGGTGTACATTGTTGAAAAGTTCTATACTACGATGAAACAGTAGATCATTTCCTATTGATCTTCAATAGTTCTTTATCTGAAGTTAGTTTATGATGTATTCAACAATGTTCACAAATTCTACTAACTAATTCAATCAGACATTTCATAGAAGTATCATATATGAGTTATTGTAACACATTATGAAATGAATTCGTTGTAGTGGTTTACAACAACCTCAGATTAGGAGTGATCTTGAATCTATCATATTCCTAGATAAGCAAGTGATTTTTACATCTCACTTTCTATTCAAAACAAAGCTTCAACTAATAAGCCAAAGGAAATGATAACGATAATAAACACATTAAAACCGTTCCCAGGGAATTGTTGAAATTCTCTTAATAGTAGTACGTTTCATTAATAGTCTATTTGATATATGACACTATATATTACTTAATACTATCCAGTAGCTAATTTCATACTTAAGAAGTATGAAATGTCAAAAACATTATGCTCTAACTGATAAACAATGGATATTATCAGAAAAGAGTTTTATCGACATTATAGTAATTTCTGAGTCAATGAAAGCTAGATCACCATGGACAATCTGAAAGTATCCTAGTAAACAACTCCTCAGCATTACTTATCCAGGTTAAGCATTTGCAGTCCAGACTGATCGATCCTGTGTTCGAATTTCACGAGCGAGATCGTGGATGTCCACTACTGAAAAATTCCACACGAAGATTAAATGGCTCTCCACTGCCTGCAGCTTTTCCATGATGATCTAACTTTCATGGACTTATGAATTCAACTATTAAATAATGAATTTGTCTAATTTTGTTGTTGTTTTTGATAAACTACTTATTAATAATAAAGTAATAAATTAATATACACTAAAAAAATTACCGTTTAATTAATTTATCCACTTTTGATTTACGTTCTTGTATTTCAATATTTAATTGACTATTTTCAGTGGTATTAATTTTAATTTGTTTATTTAACATTGTTTGATGTAAATTAATTTGTTCTGTACGTTCTTTAATAGTTGAATTTAATTCATAATTAGCTTTTTGTAAATCATATCTCTATAGTGATTATAAACATGAGAAATATAGAAATGGTACTATGATAAGTTTAATAGATAAAGAGTTTATACAAATGTAATAAAGAATCAGTACTATATCATTAGTAGTATTTAAACAATAGAGGTTAAACTAACCACTGATTCTCCCTATATAGTAAAGCCGAATTGCTTATTAACAGGTTGTTTCAATGTGTGGTACTAGTTCAGTTAGTCAGTCAGCTACAACGTAGGACAAGGCACATATATGCATCGGTCCAAGTTGCCATACCTCACTCATTAGCACAGTAATATGAACACCGGATTCATACGAGTTGTTAGGTCAATGGTGGTAATATATCAAAGAAAGATTGCATATAAGGATATAGTATAAGAAGAAAGAATTAGTTCGTAGAAAGAAAGATATGAAGTGATTTTAATCTCTTAGTTTAAGGGAAGACAGAGTGTATACACCGACGCCATTATGATCGATTCTGAGCCATGTCACCAATAGTCTCCAATCATTGGTTACAATAGTCACACGGACCCCAACCAAGTAGTCTGCATCTACCAACATGGCTCAGACGAGAAGTTGGTGTCTTCAAACACTGATGCCATATTCTGGTTTGTCCGCCCATAACTTTCTTCCAATTATCCCTAACACCGGTTATCATTTCACATCGTGGTAATCGGTGTTCATGGTACTAGTTATGCTAATATCTATCGCTGCATTGACAATACGATTTGATTAGGCATTCGTTAGAAATGATAATGTTGTTTGAGATAGTTTTGCAAAATATTTAACATCATATTCACTATATATAATTACTACTATGGTGTATACTACTTATATCGAAAGATATATGTAGTATGCAGCACCAATCGGAAGTGTGAAAAATCCGTCTACTAACCAAAAGATGGGTTTACTGCGCAGCAGTTCGTTTTGTCCTATTTTATGGCAGTGAAATATGGCCGGTATTCGCAGGTTAATAGCATTCGTTCGTAGGTGTCCCCGAAGCACTGCTTGTTTGCTATTTCTTATCCAATCGACGTTAGTCGAGCCGTGTAGAAAACACTCTAGAATCTTGTCATGTAAAAAAACTATAAATATATTACCGTTTCTCTTAATATACTTTTTATTTTCATCTACCCTTATTCTTTAGAACATAATTTCTTTCCTATTCAACCATAATGTGATTTAAGAACTTCTCAAGTGAATTTATGTCCAAAGAATACTGAGCAACAGGAATTATAAGTTAATGGACCGCTAGCAATGTGGCTCTATAATATATCAATCTTAGCCATCATGATAGAAACGGACGACAAAAAAGAGCACTGTATACACATGGTCTGTACCGCGTTGTGTTAAAAGCGACCTGATATAATCAGTCACGATACAAAATACTTTCAACAACTAAAGCGACGATCGATCAAAATAAAAACCCTAAGTTAATCCTCCAGAATAGGAAAGTCCAATCTCTTCTACCACCTTGAGTGGATTCAAGTTCTATGATTACATGTTCTCTAGTATAAAGTAATTCAATATGTCCAGTTTATAGTATCTTCTTTCCCAGTACATTTTTCAAGGTTTAATTTAATGATGTAATTCATTCAACATAATTGTGAAAACATATAGAACATTTACATTTTTCAGCTTAGAGGACTTATGTAAATTTTAACATTGTGATATCACAGCTGATTAGATTAATACCTCCACAACACCAATATATATTATTGTAGTGAACGAGAACACAAGTAGGGACAATCGAACGTATCTGAATACGAAATTACAGTATGTCTTAGTAAAATCTGAGAAACCACACAGTAAATACTGATTATGCAAAATGTCAATCAATTATCATCAACTTGACTATTCCTTTGCAAATATGAATCAGTCATCTCATATTTCATTGTTCCTTCATTTCCATACCGATCTCTTTTTGTTCCCTTTCTTTCTTTCTCAAACTTCTGATGCCATATATTATATTCTTGAATAGCGTTATAATATTACTTATATTGATATAAATAGCACACACCACACTATGATATAGATCATCTAAAATATTTCATAAAGTTAACTATCTCCTAACATCAATCACAAATTCTTGAAAAACATACTAATAAACTTAAAAGTATACCTAAACACCTTCTCTACGCTATAGTTCCATATCTCTTCAAGTTGGCAAGTGTAAAACATATCTCATCTAGATATCATCTAATGAGTTATGCTAATTTTTGAAAGCTTAATAATTCTGTCTAGGCTTCACAAAATACAATAAGTAGAGGAAAATGGGATTTAAGCCTAATATCAGTACATAGATTGAATAAAAGCACATTTTATGAACGAATATGTTGCTGTACGCTGATTGGCTAATTCTTATCCAATCAGAGTTAGCCAATATTTGGCAAAGACTACAATTTTCTCATATAAAATCTATATAAATATACTAATGTTTCTCTTATTATGCTTCTTACTTATATCAACCTTTATTATTAAGAATATAATTTCTATCCTAATCAACTATGTTCTAATTTAGGGACATGTAGAATAAATTAGTATCCAAGACATTTAATGAAGTTTTATTTCCTTTGAACTGAATGATTTAATCATAGAACATTCATCGTTCTTCTAAACGATATCATTAGCATAAACTTAAGATAAACTTCTATTTAATCAAAATCATTTATCTAAACTATAAATTTTCTCTATCATTTTTAGTAACCAAGACTACTACTAATCAATAAAAGTAACTGGGTAGCAACAAGAGAAATGTATAAAAAAATACACCACTCTATCTGTATATTGTTCATATAATTTTGTTAATTTATTTACTTCTAATTTTCAAAGATTTTTTCTAATAAAAGTTTTTGTAAATTATGTGATTGTTTTAAAAGGGGGACGAATATGGCGTGGGTTACTTATATCCACACAAGTAGTGCATAACAGTATTCAGACATAGAATATATTTCAGTAGAAGGTCAATGAGGAAACAATGGGAACGGAACGCGATTGGTATGAAAATGCATAAACAATGAAATCTGAGACAATGGATTGATGTTTGCAACAGGAACAGTCAAATTTGATATGATGGATTGATATTTTGCAAATTAACAATTTACTATATGGTTCTCAGATTTTATTGAGATGCTCTGTAATTGTGTGTTCAAATACATTCGATTATCGCCACTCATGTTCTTGTTCACTACATTTGGTGTCCCTGCCAACCAGGAGAAGGGGAGGGTGCTATTCTGCGGACGTCGTTGCGGGCCTGGAGCTGAGGTGCCAGTGGAGCAGTCAGGTGCGGAGAGGTGGCGTTGGCTGTAGCGGATGCTGTCGACGGAGAGGAGCGGTGGAACATGCGGCCGCTGGGCGGACATCGGATGTAGATGGCTCAGCAGGCCGGTGGAGCATGCGTGTTAAACGTCGCAGGTGCCCGGTGGATATCGGATGTTGGTGCTCCGGCAGGTCGACGGAGCTACGGAGGTCAGCGCGCCGCAGACTTGACATTATGACGGAGGACTTAGCACAGACTGCAGAAAAGAGGAATGTTGCGCGGCGAGCACGAACCACCGCAAGAACGACTGCTTTAAAGGGGGGACGAGTGTGTTGTGTGTGCTAGTTATATAGATATAAGTAGTACATGATGTTAGTCGTGAACAGAATGTCTGGTAGCAGAGAAACAAGTGAATTGAATAGAAAAGAATAGAAACAGAATGCAATTTATATGAAATTGCAAGAACTAAGGAAGTCTGAGTCGTTTTAAGACAATTGATGGACATACTTCAAATTAAGCATTTACTATATGATTGTTAGATCTCATTAACAAGTTCTGTAATTTATTGTCAAATACATTCAATTGTCCCCTTACCCTAGTTACGTTATTTAAACTATACATTTTCTCTATCCTTTTAGTATCCAAGACTACTACTAATCAATAAAAGTAACTGGGCAGCAACAAGAGAAATTTATAAAAAAAATAAATACGTTACGTTATTTAAACTATAAATTTTCTCTATGAATTCAGTATCTAAGACTAGTACTATTCAATAAAAGTAACTGGGTAGCAACAAGAGAAATTTATTAAAAAAAACATCACGTTACGTCATCTCAACTATAAATTTTCTCTATGAATTCAGTATCTAAGACTAGTACTATTCAATAAAAGTAACTGGGCAGCAACAAGAGAAATTTATTAAAAAAAAACAACACGTTACGTCATCTCAACTATAAATTTTCTCTATCATTTTTAGTACCCAAGACTACTATTAATCAATAAAAGTAACTGGGTAGCAACAAGAGAAATTTATAATAAAAAAAATCAATACATTTACCTTATCTGTATATTGTTCATATAATATTGTTAATTTATTTACTTCTAATTTTTTTAAATTTTTTTCTACTAAAAGTTTTTTTAAATTATGTGATTGTTTTAATATGGGTAGCAATGTGGTGTGGGTTACTTATATCCACACAAGTAGTGCATAACAGTGGTCAAGCATAGAATGTATTTCAGTAGAAGGTTGATGAGGAAAGTACTGGAACAAAACGAAATTGATATGAAAATGCATAAACAATGAAATCTGAGACAATAAATTGATATTTGCAACAGGAACAGTCAAATTTGATATGATAGATTGATATTTTGCAAATTAACAATTTACTATATGGTTCTCAGATTTTATTGAGATGCTCTGTAATTTTGTGCTCAAATATATTCGATTGTCCCCCACCCCTTGTTACATTATTTAAACTATAAATTTTCTCTATCGTTTTAGTAACCAAGACTACTACTAATCAATAAAAGTAACTGGGTAGCAACAAGAGAAATTTATTAAAAAAAAACAACACGTTACGTCATCTCAACTATAAATTTTCTCTATCATTTTTAGTAACCAAGACTACTACTAATCAATAAAAGTAACTGGGTAGCAACAAGAGAAATTTATTTTAAAAAAAATCAATACATTTACCTTATCTGTATATTGTTCATATAATTTTGTTAATTTATTTACTTCTAATTTTTTTAAATTTTTTTCTACTAAAAGTTTTTTTAAATTATATGATTGTTTTTCTTTTTCTTTCAACATAATATCCATTTCTAATTCATTTGTATCTAATTGATTTTTAAGAAAATCATTTTTATTGTATAATGTCTCATGTTCACGTTTAATTCGATGTAATTCTCTCTAGAAAAAAAAAGAAAAAAAAACGAGAAAAAAAAGAAAAGAAAAGAAAAGAAAAAAAGAGAAAAAGAAGAAAAAAAAACCATAAAAGTGAGTATGAGATGATATATGTCATTGAAGAAGTATTATTGATAAACTGGTACTAGTATTCTTATATGAGATTCATCAGTTGTGTTCACCTTGAATCTCATCAAAGTATAAAACATGAGAAGTTTAAGTCTATTCAATAAATTTCATAACACTAGAGATAATATACTGACTTTTTTTAAGGAACTACACCCCAAGCTCTCAACCTAAAGGTTTGATCCAAAATGTAGTGGAGCAACATCAGGGAGATGCAATCGCATGGTTGCCGGTTATTAACGATTAGTGCATACACTATTTGTTCCTTCAGTAATATTGAAGCCTATGTGCACCAACGGTTTGAAATCAGGGTTTTCTAACTCACCTAAATGAATCCTCTAAATCCACCAACTCGTTTTTGATCCTCTCAATTTCATAAACAACATCAATGCCATAATAAAGTTAGTGAGTAAGATTTCCCTGGTAGTGATTGTATATACGTGGTCATATGAGAGCATTTGGAAAGAGAGAGCTGACTCTCCACACTCTCGACCGTACCCGAATATTTAGGAGCCATTCGTTCTTATAAAATTCTATACTCTTTACTTTGTTCTTCAGTCAGTCAGTCAGCCAGCTGCAACGTAGGACCAGGCACGTATATGCATCGGTCCAAGTTGCCATACCACATTGGCACAACAAGATCAACACCGGATTCATAAAAGTAGTTAATTCAATGGTGGTAATATATAGAAGAAAGATTGTGTATAAGGAGATAGTACAGGAAGAAAGAATTAGTTCGTAGAAAGAAAGATTTGAAGTGATTTTAATCTCTTAGTTTAAAGGAAGACAGAGAGTGTATACACCGACACCATTGTGATCGATTCTGAGCCATGTCACCAATAGTCTCCAACTATTGGTTACGATAGTCATGCGGACCCCAACCAGGCAGTCTGAATCTTCCAACATGGCTCAGCACTGAAGTTAGTGACTTCAAGCACTGATGCCACGTTTAGAGACTTCCTACTCAAGATTAACAATGTATTTCCTGCAATTCAATACTGATAACCATTAGCAAACAATATACTCAGAATGTATAGGAAACCTATATAGTGACACATAATCAAATATCTTTTTATTGAGATCATGAATCGACTGATGTTAGACCACCATTGAAAATCTGAAAGCATTGGACGGTCGTTTCATCTTAATGTGGGATTCCTCAGCAGTGCACATCAACGATCTCACTCTAGGGATTCGAACCCAAGTCACTCAGTCTCGCGCAAGAACGCTTAACTTCTAGAAAACTGAGCTGGCCGACATCCAAAAATGTCTAATCTTAACCAACCCACGAAATTGTGCGACCATCTTCCATTGTACTGAGGTAGATACCTGTCTCTACGCGGCACGGATTAGATCCACTGGTCACGGTTTCTTACTAGAACTCCGAAAGATCCCTCACAAAGCCAGTCACTAGTCATCATATGGTAATTATCAGTATTGGGGTTGTGGAGATTATTAAGATTTTGAATGAGATCATCAATTGATTGATGTTTGACTACCATTGTAAACCTGAAAGCACTGGAAGACCATTTCGTCCTATTGTAGGACTCCTCAGCAGTGTTTAACCACGACCCCGCGGACAGGATTCAAACCCACAACCCTATATTGATATAATCAAATAGTTGAAATAATGATTGAAATAGATCTTCTATAGCTATTAGTTACACTAATAGAAGATCATAATGTAAAACTAAACTTACACTAAGATTTCTTAATTGATTTGTTAATAAATTCACTGTATTGGTTCGTTCATTTAATTCTTTTGTTAATTCTTTAATTTTATTTTCCATCAATTCACATTGTTCAACATTTTGTTCACCGGTCATTTTACCAATACGTCTTTCTAAACTTTGTATAGTAAAATCCTAAATTATTTTTAGATATAAAAATTATATTACTGATAATAATTAAAAGTAGTATAAATAGTAGTACTCAAAAATATTTATATAGGAAAATATAAATTAATGGAATGGTTGAAGAAAGTTTAAAGTTGATACTTTTGATATATAATTGTAGTAGTGTGATGTATTCTACTGACGTCAAAAGATATAAGTAGTTTGTATCATCAATTGGAAGTATAATGCCTGACGATAGAACGTTAGGAAGATCGAAGGAAACAGAACAACAACAGAAAATGTTTGGTATGATAATGAAAGAACAATCATGTCTAAGATGAATGACTGACATTTTGCAAATGAGGAATTCACTGTATCGTTATCAGATTTTACTAAAATATTCTGCAATTTTGCGTCGTAGTACATCTAATTGTCTCTACTTATGTTCTCGTTCACTACAGTAGTATTGTGGTGAACAAAAACACCAGTGGGGACAATCGACTGTATTTGACACTAAATTACAGAGCATCTCAATAAGATTTAAGAACCATATAGTAAATCGTTAATTTGCAAAATATCAATCCATCATATCAAATTTGACTGTTCCTGTTGCAAATATCAATTCATTGTCTCAGATTTCATCGTTTATGCATTTTCATACCAATTGCGTTTCGTTCCCATTGTTTCCTCGTCGACCGTCTACTGAAATACATTCTATGCCTGACCACCGTCATATAGTACTTGTGTGGATATAAGCAGCCCTCACCATAGTATAAGTGGTGTTCAGTAATTCATAAAATCATCTTTTCAAGATGGTAGAGATGGAATGTAGCTCAGATAGATGATTTAGATGTATTCTCGTTCTTTTAAATGGATGGGTTGGTTGTGAAGCTTTTATTGTTCTTTTGAATAAAATCATCAGTTCAAACATCAGGTAGAAGATTTCCACCATCACAAAAACATATGAGTGTAGCATGCTTCTAGTCGTTCGAAAATGGGAGGATTTTGTCGAAAGGAAAACTTCCACCTGAGAACAACACTATTTCTACCAACAAGTATAAAATATAGACCTCCAATCAATTGCTCAATAACCAAAGCCGAAAAAAACATGGTACACTTTATACGACCAAACCATTCAGTTCAGAGAACGAAACTCCAGCTAAATCATTCTTTCATACTATAATAAGAAAAGAATGAAGTTGTGCACTATTGATAAGTAATTCTTAAAATTACGAAATCCATCATCCAGAAGAGATAAGTGTTTAATAACATTTGTCTAAGCAAAATACTTCAGGTCTGTTGACCAAACACTATCAGCAACAGCCGACTGTAGGAGAGAACAAACTGGATACCAATGGAGGAATGAATCAGAAAGAAGTGAGTAGGCTACATATTGTGGAAAGAGCCAAACTGCTTCACAAGGCGAGCCCTCACATGGAATAATCAAGGTCACAAGAGGAGTGGAAGATCAAAGGACATATTACGCCTAGAAATGGAGACGAACATGAGAATAATAAATAACAATTGGATAGAACTAGGAAGGAAGACCCAAGACAGAGTGATTTGAAGAATGCTAGTCGGTGGCCAATGCTCCATTGGCAGTAACAGGCGTAAGTAAGAACTTTTAAAACCAGGAACCACTGAAATTCTCGCGACCCCAGTCAAAAATACACTCATTTATACATTGATTTGTATACTCATTTAAATCAATAATTAGGATGAAATCATATTGATGAAAGATGCTTAGAGTTAAAACAAACCACATGCTGAGTGTCATGTTGATCAGAATTTAACAAAATATCTTCATCACTATGTTAGAGGAGATAAATAAGATTGGCAAAACAAATATGTTAGAAATTAGACGAATGGATTGGAATATTGATAAAGGCATAAAATTACATATTCTAATCTGTTCGCTACTATACAGGAATACTGAACTGACTGAATAAGAATTAAACTACTGACTAATAACTAGTAGTATACTCAGTAATATACTCAGGGCGAGCAGTCACGATTCCATTTGCGGGATCCAAACCCAGGTCTAGCATGTGGACGCTTAAAGTCTAGATCATTGAACCGGAACCCAACGATTCTAATGTATAACATCAAGCAATACACGATATTGCACCTACGCCCTTTGTTATCTTCAACAAGTTACTGCATCACAACAGACATAGTTGAACTCCACGAATCACGGCTTCTCACTAGAACTCCAGGAAATACCTCTTGAAGCTACTCAATAGTGAACATATGATGATTATTATCAGAAAGAAGGTTTTGTGGAGATTATTGTATCTTTTTTCCATGGTGGTCTATCTTAGATGGACTGATGAATTCAATTAATAAATCACTACAACCTCTGCAAAAGCCCCTTTCTGATGAATATGGATACATTTAAACGTAGTTATTAGATACATGAAAAACAACAATATAACAGTATTACAATAATACTTAACAATACATTGAAATTGATAAGGGAAATCAAGTTATAAGAAGAGATATTTCAATTTATGGACGAAAGATAATGATCTACTATTAGTACTACTATTATTATTAGCTTTATTCAATATTATAGAATTCTCAGTACGAAGTATTTCAACAAGTTCCCCATTTCTTAGTTCTTGATCGATCTTGACGATAACACACTAAGTGATCATCATTTACTATCCATAAGTCAGTGGAACAACGTAAGGAAATTTAATCCCATGGTAAATGATCATCAATAATTGATTCATATACGATTTGTTCCTTGAGAATCCTGAAGTTCATATGCACTATTGGTTTAGAATCAGTGTTTTCCAACTCTCCTATGTGGATTGTTCATGTTCACCGACCCGATTAAAGTGTAGGACATTCACTTTTGTTCCTCTCAATTCCGTAAATAACACCTCTCCCACGAGAAGGCAGTGAGTAGGAGCGGTGTGACAGTGATTGTATACACGTGACCATGTGAGAGCATTTCAAGAGAGTGAGAGAGAGAGAGAGAGAGAGAAAGAGAACTGACTCTCCCCACTCTTAGCCTTACCAGAACATTTGGAGGGGAGGCATATGTATATAATACTAATGATTGTATATTGTTGACATAATCTTTGTATATAAACAATCATTAAAAAAAAGTAGCTAACCTGACGATATAATACTTCTTGTTGTTTTAATAATTGTGCATCTAACAATTCAATTTTCAACATTAAATTTCTTTTAGTTGTTTCATTGCCTGATATGGATTGTTTTAATAATTTCTCTTCATGTATAAGTTCTTCATATTTCTAATAAGAAGGGATTAAAACATATTTACTTGAATAAGAGTCAGAGGGATTATGTGGATATGATAGTAATGTAATAGATGAATTCATGAGTCCATTGAAACTAGACCATCATAGAAAACGTAAAAGTACTGAATGGCTATTTCGTCCTAGTGTGAGACTCGTCAGCCATATGAATCCATGACCTTGTGTGCAGGACTCGAACACATCCGTAATGTCGATTACGAATATCTAACTTTTGAACCACTGAACCGGTATCCAACGATGTTAGTGTCTAATTTCAACTAGTCCACGAAATAGCTTTCAGGTCTAGCTTTAATTGACTTATGAAATCAACTATTAAAATAATTAGTTACTAGGATGTAGAATCTTGTCTTGTAATAATGTCTAGTAAAGAGATAGGCTGAAACAAGTTTGAATAAAACCAAACTTAAACAGTTCTATTGGATATTTTTATAATCTCTGGTTTAACCTACTGCTTCTTTTAGATTTATAATCAAGACTTCATTACTTTTAATTCTATTTAAGATATTGGTTGAAAGTAGTCTACAGAAAACCCCTGAACATAGGGTTCGTGTTGTTTGACACTCGTCAGCAAGGTGTAACTATAACCTTGAAAGAATTGATACACCCTGGTAGATTTGATTCTGTTTCATTCAGTTTCATAATCAAAGACGTTACCTTGATCACGAACACCAAATAGCACAAAACTTGACTAACTCAAACCAACATCTTATTTTAACATAATGTACGCAATGTTGAATCACCTAGGCTAGTGGGGGCATTGTAAATTATTCGATAAGATTCGATCTGCACTAAGAAGGAGCTGACATAAGTGATATTGGTCACCTCTCGTTCACTTAGTCAGTAACGACATAAAACTTCGTATATACGTCCATTAGTTCAAATTGCCATACCACATTAAAACAGAGATGCAGTTTTCGATTCAAATTCTATAGTGGTAGAGGTAGTAAAAGTATAAGCAGTAATCGGAAACATTATGGTTCAAAGATGTTATTCATGGATTGTAATCCAATGAAAAAAATTTGCAGAAAGAAAAAAACAAGGGACATGAAGAATTCAAAGTATGGATGCACCTGTTCCATTGCAAATGATTTTGAGCCATGCGTCATTCAAGATCTCTAACCATCGGTTGTTATCGTTTTGTGGATTCCAATCAGGTCAGGTAGTCTACACCTACGAACATGGCTCAATTCACTTATTAGTGAATTCATGAATTTTTCCCATATTTTGATCTGACCATTCCTAGCTTTCTTCCAACTTACCCGTACACTATGATACATCACTCGTCAGGGCAGTAGGTGATTGGTTATATGTAACATTTGTCTCAGTCATCTCAACTAATGAAGGCAACCTGAAATAGATGTCACTAATCACCACCCAGTGATTAATTCATTTTAAATACATCTCAGTCTTATAGGAGGTCAGTCGCAGCCCCGAAAGCTCAGTAATACATCTTTGATTGTAAAAGTGGATGAAACCGGATCGAATCCATCAAAGAGTATCGAGCACTTCAAGATTACAAGTACACCTTGTTGACAAGTGTCAAATAGCACGAAACCTAGGTCCAGGATTCCCTGTTTACCACCTCCAACCAACATCTTATCTCAACATGGTGCATATAATATCGAATCACCTAGACAAGTAACCACATTGCAACTTAGTCGATAGGTTTCGATCTTGCATTAATAAAGATCTGACATACATGACATTCATCACCACCCCATGTGATCGATCAATTATAAGTCAATTCTCTTTATTTCCTTCCTAAATCTAATCTAATGAAGATCTCTATGAGTTATAAACGAGAATTACATAACCCTCTTATTCAATCTATTACATAACACATGAATATCATCTTACCTGATTAACTTTAAATTTATCATCACGTAATTTATTTAATTGTTTACAATAGAATTCATGATTGAATTCTTGTAATGATAATTGTTTATCAGCTTCATTAGCATATTGTTCAGCGGTTAATTTACATTCAGTTACATATGTTAATTGTTTCATTGAATTATCAATAGATTCTTTTAGTTTATCAAGACTATAATGAAAAAGATGAATGAAATACAAATATTATCAGTAATAATCTACTATGAAAGAGAACGAATTAGATTCCAGCAAAAGAAGAAATCAAGAAGAACCATCTGAAAGGAAATAGGACATATACATTGTGGAAAGTACCCGATTACGTCACAAGGCAAGCCTTCACTTGAAATCTTTAAGGCCAAAGGAGAAAAAGAGGAAGACCAAAGAACCCACTGGAGATAGACTTGAGAAGAATGAATAACTGTTGAATAGAACTAAATAGGTAGGTGGAGGACAGAATAGGTTGAAGAATGCTGATCGATGGCCTATACTCCATTTTTTGGGGGGGGGTGAGGTAATAGGCGTAAGTAAAACAAATGAGTAATTACTAAATATTCCTTGAATATAGAACATCAGGTCGATGTGTTGAAATCTTTCATAGTGATTAATAAACAGTCAAACCACAGTCTTGTCAAGTTTGCTGAAGCTGTTACTATCAAGTGTCAGAAATCTGAGGATTTTGTTATATATCATGAAAATTTGTTTAACTCTTTCTTTTAATTAGTTACGTAATTATTGTTGGAGAGACCCTAATTTATGGACGAGCCAATCAGAAGCGTTTGAGAGATTTCAAGGTTATGGCGCCAACTTCAGTGCTTAATGGTAACGTATGATTGGTTCAGAAAGAATTTTGTACAAAACGTGATAATTTAGCGGCTGTAACAAGTAAAACGGTGTGACTATAATTTGTGGACGAACCAATTAGGTATAAGATAACAGGTCTCGGATTTTGGCGTGAAAGTGTTTCATCCATTTGGCTAAATAGATTTCTGGTATTATAGCTGATGTCAGTTCGTGATGAAAACCCTTTATATAATTCCTAACTAAGGCAAATTATGACAATTATTACAAACTGGATCATGAAAGCACCAGCGACACTGGCTGTATCCAGGTACTACAATATATACGGATGATTGGACAGCGTACAGACTCCTATATAGACTTGGTTATGTTCATCGTGTCGTTATCCAAAAGTGGCATTTTGTGTACTCAACAATCGGAGTGCAGACAAACATTATCAAAACTATGTGGTCAAGGCTGAGAGAGTTTTTGCAACCTTATCAACCTTACCAAGGTCGTCCATAAATCAGAGTCTTGCCTCATTGTGTTCTAGATTACCAGTCTTAATGAACTGAGCTTTACTCATTTTATTCCTATCAGAGTCACTGAGACGGAAATAACATTAGAAGGGTACACTTTGTCTTAACGAAGCTTAAATTGGCAGATTGTTATATTTTGGTGGAAAGTCTTAGCAATGACTCCTAATGCTCCATATTTCGCTCATCCAGATAAATCTCAGTGAAATATAAATGAACAACAATTAGATAGAAGTACAAAGGAAAGCTCAGAATAGAGCGGATTGGAGAATGCTGGTCGGCAGTTTATGCTCCATTGGGCGAAACAGTCCAAGAACACTTTTTCACTCACTGTTGTATTCTCGTTCAAGTAGTCAGTTAGAGGAGGGGGGGGGGTTAGCGCGTAGCATACTGTATATCAGCTTAAGATTTTTGTACATCTTACATCAAAACAGAATGTTTGGGTAGTAAACATTTGGATAATATGTTCAAACCGTGTAAGGTGAAGTGGTTCAACAATCGATTGTGATAGATTATGTTCCAAGTATTTCATGCTTGTGATCTTTATAAAATCGCTAACAAATGCTTGAGACAACAGTATCTTAATCCCAAAGTTAAGTATATGGTAATATGATCACTTACTGTTAAGCTAAGAAGAGTAAGATAATATAGAGTAGTAAACAAGAATACAAGAAGGGACAATCGAGCGTATTGGAATACAAAATTACAGAACATCTTAGTAAAATCTGAGAACCATACAGTGAATTCATTTGCAAAATGTCAACCAATCGTCTTAGACTTCATTGTCCCTTCATATCCATATTAATCACTTTCTGTTCTCGTTCTGTTTTCTTCAATCTTCTTAACCTTCGGTCTCCAGACATACATACTACTACTTATATCTGTCGACATCAGCAGTACACATCACAATAAGTTTCTAATTTGACGGCGAGACTATAATTTATAGACGAACCAATTACACCTTAGATAGTAGGTCTTGGACTTTAACATTAAATTCATTCACTTATTTGGCTAATTAGTGTTCTGGCATTTTAACTGGTGTCAGTTCATGACGAAGGCCCTTAATCTAATTCTAATACTAATTCTTTCACATTTATCCATAACCTTCATTTAACCCTAGTAACTAGGCTAGCAGTGGAATCAAGCATATAAGTTTCGTCCTATTGCGGGCTCATCAGCTAGATGTTCGCCATCGCATTATCCACTTGGCTACGGTGTCCTGATAGCCTCCGGCTTGTGTAAAATTATATACATTCATACTTACTTTTGTAATTTCTTTTCTTTTTCTTTTTTTAATTGTGAATTCAATACTCTAGCTGCTTCTAAGTCAATTACAGCTTTATCCACAGTACGTTTTAATGCTTCTAACTAAATACAATAAGTAAATAAAGAAAAAACAATCTGTTTAAATTCAATTCATGTAAGAAGTAAAACCAATTCTATTCATTAATGATCAAGATTACAGATAAATATCCTAATACCGTCGAGAGTAGGGAGGTTCAGCTCTCTGGCTCTCCCTATCTCTTTCTCTCCAAATGCTCTCAAATGACCACGCATATAGAACTACTGCTAGGGAAGTCCTACTCACTGCCTTCTCGCGGCATTACTGTTGTTTACGAAATTGAGAGGATGAAAAGTAAATGTCTGGCGCTTTAACCAGGTTGGTGGATATGGAGGATTCACCAAGGGGGGTTGGAAAACCCTTATTCAAAACCAGTGGTGCATATGGGATCCAGAGTCCTGAAGGAACAGATGGTGTATGAACCAATTATTGGTCACCGACTACCATACATCAAACTGGTTGTTGTATCTATACAAGATTCGCACTCATTTAAGAATATCGTTTATAATTATCTCATAAATGATTCAATTCATTTATTAAATTAAGAAAACTTTGTACTATATTCTATACAACTAATTGACTGTAAGTTGCAGAGAAGAAGGTCTAGAGTGTGTTGTCACTAGTTATTTAGATAACACAAGGCGATTGTCTCAAGTAAGAATATCAAACTGGACCAAAGAATGTTAGGTTCTATGTTACGGACGCATTCCAAGTGAGGACCGATGTCGGACAAGGCTGCTTACTCTCCATCTTCCTCTTTCTTCTGGTGATTGAATGGATTATGAAGGCCTCCATATGTCAAGCGAACCACGGAATACGATGAATATCTCTGAATCAATAAACAGATTTGTACTTTACAAATGACCTGGTCTAAATGTACACAAAGAAAAAAGCAAGATCCTCAAATACTGCACAAAGAACGCTAATTCAATCACATTCAATGGAGAAACTCTAGAAGAGGTGGACAGTTTCTCGTATCTGGAAAGCATCATCGATCAATGTGAAGGATATGATGCAGACGTGTAGGCGAGGATTGGAAAACGAAGGATCGACTATCTACAAAGCGATCAAGTAAGGTTGTGTGTTACGGCAATAATGATAATCGCTCAAAATATCATGAGTGTTAGGTAGAAGCATGACAGAAAAAATCGAACTGAGAGAAGAAAAACCAATAAATTATAGGTAGATGAATCAGAACAAACATATCGAAAAAGCAAGATGAACTTTGGAAGTATTGAGTCACTGCAACCTAGAAACGAGCCGCATTCCTTCAATTAAAGAACATATGGAACTCAAAACAATTGTCAACCAATATCAAAGTCACAATCATCAATACGAACGTCAAGGCAGTTCTACTGTACGGAGCTGAAACGTGGAGAACTACAACAACCATCATCAAGAAGGTATAAGAATTTATCAATAGTTGTCTACACAAGATATTCAACATCCATTGGCCGGATATCATCAACAACAGCCTTTTGTGGGAGAGAACCAACCAGCCTCCTGCTGAAGAGGAAATTAAGAAAAGATGATAGAAATGGATAGGACATACATTGAGGAAATCATCAAACTGCATTACGAATCAAGCCCTAACTTGGAATCCTGAAGGGAAGCGGAAAAGAGGAAGGCCAAAGAACACATTACGTTGAGAAATAGAATCAGACATGAAAAGGATGAATGACAACTGGAAAGAGCTGGAAAGGAGTGTTCAGGACAGGGTTGGATGAAGAATGTTGGTGGGCGGCCTATGCTCATTCACGAGGAGTAACAGACGTAAGTAAGCAACCTAGAAATGATTGAATATAACTCATACTACTTATAATTATTAAGTAGCATTGTTTGATATCTCAAAAAATAAGTGAGAGAGGTATAATATTAGCAAGTATATATTCTGTTGTAGGAAATTCACCATGAAATTACTTACTTTTAAATGTTGATTTAAAGGATATCATAGATCCTCCTTTACTATTGTTGGTTTTCATTAAGACCCGATGTCTGAATGACATGATATTTGCAATCCAACTGAACCATGATATCTAAATTCTGTATTGCCTATAAACTTATTCTATGTTTATCTATAGGTTGTGGTAATGTTTATATTCAGTACATTCAGTGTATCAACCCTTTAATTATGATAGATGTAATTGATACAATGTCATTGATAAATGACGTCTCCAGCTTATTTTACTTATAAACAATGACAGTTTTCAATATCATGAATCAATCGAAGCTAGACCACCTTGGAAAACCTGGCAGCATTACACGGCCGTTTCGTCCTAGTATGGGACTCCTCAGAAGTGCGCATCCACGATCCCACTACCTACGAGATTCGTCTCATACTAGGATGAAACGGCCGTCTAGTGCTTCCAGGTTTTCCAAAGTGGTCTAAGTTCAATGGACTCATGATTTCAACCAGTGAAATTTCAAAAATCTCCACACAACCCCTTCTCATAGTTTTCAATATGTCTAGATACATACAATTTACCTTCACAACTATTTATAAAGTAGAAACAATTACCACCACCTCATCCCACCCCCCAGTTTATACAAAAGGAACGTTATTAACCATAGCATTCAAATAACTTAAGGTTATAATGGACCATAAAATAAACAGAACGTTGTTTTCTTTCATAGTCATTTGTTGTCTAACCGAACTTAGAAAGAATGTAATCAGTATTCATATAATGATATTCAATAAACCAGATTAGATCCATTCATCTTTGTATTGTTTGTTTCGATCTTCTAAGTGATTTTTTAGGATTGTAAATGATCAGTCTCTTATTAGCATATGTGTATCCTGTGCAGATTGATTTCAGTAGAGGCTAGCAGTGGTATTCAGGTTGCACGTTTCGTTCTATTTGGGCCTCATCAGTTGAATGTACCGGGATACCACAGCCAATATATACTACGGGACTCGAACCTAATATTGTCCGATTCAAACACCATCGTATTAACCACTCGACTATATACATATTCATAAATTGATTACACAATGGTACACAATTTAAAATGAACAATAATAAACATAGATATATACCTCACTATGAAAATCTTGTCGTTTTATTTCTGTATTAGTTAAATCTTCTTTACATTGTGTTATATTCTTAATGATTTCATCTAAATGATGTTGAACATCGGAATTCGTCTCTATTTGTAAATGAAGAAAATTCAATTTCTCTTTATTCAATTGTTTTTGTTCATAAACTTGAAGTTTAATTTGATTAAGGCGCTAAAATAAACAAACAAAATGTATTCAATGAAAACTGATTATCTTATTCATTGTTTATATCTTCCCATTTGTCGTTTAGAATTAGAATTCAATAGTCTTTTATGAGTAAATGTGTATAGTATGGTGAATGACTCAGTTTATAAGCAAAGATAGTTAGTAACTAACAGTGGAATCCACGACTGATGTTTTGTTTTATTTGGGACTCATTATTTAGGTGTACCTGTGAACGGTATTGAGTTCAAGTTCTAGAATGAATATCAACTCTGAAATGTAGACAAGTTCATCTGACGAATGTAAAATAGGATGAAATGCATGTTAAACTAGATTCCATCACTAATCACTATCCATTATCTACGTTTTTATTCATTTCCCTTCAGATCTTTTGTGTATTATTTTATACTACTTAATAATATTCAGTAAGTAGTTGTATTCTTAGAAATTTCTACATGGATGTATGCTTGATCCTATATTACAGCTGACGAACATATTGCTCAATGAAACATTTAACTTCATATAGATATGTATTTGACTGTTAATTCATTTCTTTATTTGTTTGCTCATATTAATATTCTTATTGGAATTTGTTTAATATGCTTGTAGCTTAATGATCTATGCTATCCGATAAAACGATTATAGTTGATACTTCATGTTGCTTTCTGAATATATACATCGTTTATTCAATAACAATTATCAGGGTGATTAATATACGAAGCCTTAGAAACTATCTTGGAGATAATACATTATAGTTGAGACATTTTGCCAAAAAAAAACATTCAGAAAGTGAAAAGTCATATGTTGAATTTCTGATTGAATGATTATCTATACTGCTACTGATAAGTCTTGCAGCTTGAATACTATACTCGCTTCCTAAGCTATTCTTAAAACCCCCAAGCTAAAACTATACACCGATCTGAACAAAGGAGAGAAGGCGCAATGTATGCGAAAGTACTTTACTACAAAGATTCATTCTAATACAGAAAACAGAGGGTTTTTATAATATTTTAAATGTCCTTGAGTTGTTCGAAAATTCTGGAATGCTAATAAACATAGTAGCAGTATAACAATTAGGTAATCAGAACCTCTACATGTGACGTTTCACTTCCTTGATGTTTTTGGCTGAAACTTCAAGTGAATGCTGATTGGATGAAATGCTTCTCAGTTTTTCCTGACCCCTGCTTGTCTTTTGCCAGAAATTTTCTGAATCACCACAACAGCTATTATGTTTAGTTAGCGTTCCAGAATTTTCAGTAAACCTAAGGACATCTAAAATACTATGAAAATCGTATATTTTCTGTACATAACTAAACCTTTGGAGTAAAGAGTTTCTTTCATAAATCGCTCCATTTCTCTCGTGTTCAAGATGCTATGTACATCTACAATTACTTACTTACGCCTGTTAATCCTTATGAAAAAGCATAGGCCGCCCACCAACATTCTCCATCCAACCCTGTCCTGAACACTCCTTTCCAGCTCTTTCCAGTTGTCATTCATCCTTTTCATGTCTGATTCTATTTCTCAACGTAATGTGTTCTTTGGCCTTCCTCTTTTCCGCTTCCCTTCAGGATTCCAAGTTAGGGCTTGACTCGTAATGGAGTTTGATGATTTCCTCAATGTATGTCCTATCCATTTCTATCATCTTTTCTTAATTTCCTCTTCAGCAGGAGGCTGGTTGGTTCTCTCCCACAAAAGGCTGTTGCTGATGATATCCAGCCAATGGATGTTGAATATCTTGTGTAGACAACTATTGATAAATTCTTATACCTTCTTGATGATGGTTGTTGTAGTTCTCCACGTTTCAGCTCCGTACCGTAGAACTGCCTTGACGTTCGTATTGATGATTGTGACTTTGATATTGGTTGACAATTGCTTTGAGTTCCATATGTTCTTCAATTGAAGGAATGCCGCCCTTGCTTTGACAATCCTCGCCTTTACGTCTGCATCTGAACCTCCTTGTTCATCGATGATGCTTCCCAGGTATGTGAAGCATTCTACATCTTCCAGTGTTTCGCCATCAAGAGTGATTGGATTGTTGTTCTTCGTGTTGTAATTGAGAACCCTGGTTTTCCACTTGTGTATATTGAGACCTACTGATTCAGAGACTGCTGCTATGCTAGCTGTCTTTATATGGATTTGTTCGTGTGTATGCGATAGGATATGTACATCTAACCTGAGGGTTAATAAACGAGCTCCGAAACCGAATCATACACTTAAAACTCGGAATATCAGATTAAGTACTCAGTAATCACCAAGTAAAACACTACACATGTATACATTTAGAATAAAATGACAAAGAGATTGATTTCATCTTTGAACATTATAGGATTACACATAAAATATAAACTTAAAAACTTACCTGAGAGAAATGATCTAATTGAATATCACGTTGTCTCATTTCATTAATTACATTTTCCCATTGTTTTATTAAACTATCTCTTTGAATATAGGCTTCTTTAACTTCTTTACTTAAACTATCATATTTCACTTGATCAACTAATGTATTTGTATAAATTGTATCTAATTTAGATTTTAATTCATTTCGTTTATTTGTTAATTTTTCCAATTCTAAATTAAGTTCCTAATTAAAGAAAATTATTGAATATAACTAAAATAAAATCAGAATGGAAGAAAAATGTGTATTTAAAAATTACACTACTTGTAAGTAGTTTAAATTATAATACAAAATATTTTGTGTACATATCTTATATGACAGCTTACCATGGTAACTAACTATTTTCATAAACAGATTTCATCCTCTATGAACTACTATATTTATTCGGGCTGTAAAAGTGGCTGAATTTAAATTTTTTTTAAGATAATCAATATTTTTATTTAAAAATGTAATTCTGATATTAATTTTAGCATTTTAATTATTTAGGTTAGTGATTTGTAGAGGTCAAGGATTTGGTTCTCAATGGGTTGCTGAAGTGTTTCCAAGTACCACAAAAGATTGTCTAATGTTGTTTCATTCATGCTAATATTTATTTAACAAGGTAAAATTTTTTAAATTGATAGTATTGATAATATGAACTATGTTTCTAGGTTCGAATCTCAGTGTCAAAATGAATATACATGTAGGTACATTAGCTATTGTATCTTAAACAGGAATAAGTAAAACTCCTGAATTACTCTACTAATCATAATCTAAGTTTATTAAAAGGTAATGACCATAGTTCAGGCTATAAACTATAGTTAGTACATGTGAGATGAAGATACAGATTTGTAATTCAACTATTTAAATCATAGAAACTAATTCTCTGTTATTGTTTTCCCCGACATTTGTTTATCCACTATCTCTGGATACTAAATCGACTGATAGAAAATAAAGAAGTCTCTGAACTCGATCACATATGACAATATGGTTGTTCACTGAACATGAGTAATTCAAACTAAAACAGTATAATTGATCAGTATCTGTCATAATCAGTAGCTATGATCATGACATGTCAACAAATTTAAGAATGGGTAAGTAATAATATCAAATGATAATCTCAATTATAGAACTAGTTTGCTCAAATATATTAAGATCTAAAGATTTTGATGGAGTTTTGTTCTCTAAGCTGGATGGTTTGGTCGTGGAGCTTTCATCGTTCTTCTGAACGACATCATCAGCACAAACTTCAGATAGAAGTGAAGTGTTCAAATTTCTCCATATGCATTTCACAGCTTGTTCTGTGCACCTCGATGTTGATTGGTTCTTATTGACCTTAAATTTGTCATTGTTTACTTTTGTGACAAAAAATCATCCACCTGAGCTACAAATCTTCTCCACCATCTCAAGATCTAAGGATCAACAGTTTGATAACACGTTAGGAATAAAGTTGAGTGGATGTATTAGCTGCTCAATACTCAACTTTTGTTGTTGTTGTTGTTGATTATATAACTGATCATTCGTTTAAAGCATTCAGTAAGTTAAGATTTTAGTATTTCTTGGTGAACACTTATTTAAATGATATAGTTGACAGACTGAATTCAGGACATTAATTAAATGCCTATAGTCTTTACGTATTCTTACAATTGAAGATCATATGGAACTTAAAACAAAATTCACAATCTTCATTAGGAACGTCAAGACAGTTCTATATTACGGAGCTGAAACGTGAAGAACTACAACAACCATCATCAAAAAGTATGAGTATTTATAAACAGTTGTCCACACAAGATATTCAACATTCATTGACCGTATACCATCAGCAATAACCTACTGTGAGAGAAAACAAGCCAACTTCCATCAGAAGAGGAAGTTAGGAAAAGACGTTAGAAGTAGATAGGACATGAATTGAAGAAATCGTCAAACTGCATTACAAGATAAGCGCTAACTTGGAATCCTTAAGGGAAACTGATATGACGAAGACCAAAAAAAAAAACACACTACATTAAGGATTGGAAGTAGACATGGAAAGGATGATTAAAAACTGGAAATGCTTACCAAAGACAAAGTTCGATAGAGAATGCTAATGTTCAACTTATGCTCCTCCACGAAGGGCAACAAGCGTAAGTAACCAAGTAAGGATGTAATGATCTTTAATCAACACATCTATATGAGAAGTTTTTAATGTCAGTATATGATTTTTTTCTAACTTACTTTAATCTTTGTATTATCTTGTTTAATATATTTTTCAATAATTTTCATATCTTCATCATGTTCACCAATCTTTTTCATAAGATTTTCTAATGATGTTTTATCAGAATCAATATGTACTGATGAATTTTCTAATTCTTTCCTTTTTTGATAAAATAATGTCTATATAGATAAATGAATAAATAGAAAATAATAATTGAAACCATTCTATACTACTATTTCAGTTCATTTAGTATTGTTATGCTTATATCATCCAATTGATCTCTTTAAGACTTCAATTGATCAATCTCTTATGAGCATATATGTATACTGTGCGTACTGACTTGATATTGCCTTAATTCACAAACATTATATGCAAAGATAGATAGTGGCTAGCAGTGGAATCCAGTTTGATAAGCATTTCGTCCTATCTGGGACTCATCAGTTGAATGTACCTGAATCTTAGAAATGATGTCCAAGAGTTAACATTAACTCTAAGATACAGGTACATTCATCTGAAGTGTCCCAAATAGGACGAAATGCGTGTCAAACTAGATATCACTGTTAGCCACTATCCATCTATACTACTATTTAGTTAACAAAGTAGTTCAATGAAATCATCACAATAATATACTCATAATGATGAATATCTTGCATATATGCAAGGTTATTTATGAGTTGAAGGTTAGTATCAAAAGTATAATCTCATCATCTGAAAATTTTCTAATTTTGAGAAGAATTATTATTTGATAAATACTATTTTTGATATCGTTAAGTCTGTTTTATGTTCACTGTCCGTATCCACCTCTACTCAACTTTTTCGTATAATATTTTATGCTACTTATTATTAATCAGTAGATAGTTTTATTTTTATAAATTTCTACATGGATGTTGCAACGTAAGTTTGTAGTAGTTATTCATTATTTTATGCAATCATTTAATCCTTGTTTAAATACAATAGTTTTCATATTGCTTGCTCTTATTTTGGTTTTCGCTTGTTGATAAACCATTCTCAAGCTTAGATACAACCAACGGTTGTTATTTTATACTGTCGGAGCCTTTTTATTTCAGACAATAAAGACGTGGTAAAGAAATGCTATTTTAGACAAATCGTTACTTTGTGAACTTAGATTTTGCTCGTATCTCCATTAGGTGATTTAGACGCTTCGATAGACTTCATAGATATACACTTATGATTAACTTGGAGTTATAACAGGTAGAGAATGGAATGAGCTGTTCTTATTAATCTAACAGTAGAATACATTGTCATGTAAGGTCCTTCAAATAATGATCAAGGTTGGATTAACTCTTCTTAAATGCTGGTTTTTAATTTAGACACTTTGTATTATTTTTAAATCATATTTTGTTGAGTCATAAATACCAAATACACGTTTGCACTGGAAAATCTATAACAGTTACTACTGTCGTTAACGAGAACAGAGGCGGGGACTTTGTTATTTCTTCGTTTCCGTACCAATCATCCTTTATTCTCATTCTCTCCACTTCGATTTTCTCAACCTTCTGTCGCTGGACATTCAGTTTTCGATTGGTGGTGCACACAATTTATATCCGTAGCACACACAGCACTCATCCCCCCCTTTAAACAGTCATTCTTGCAGTGATTCTGCTCGCCATGCTACTTTCTTGTTTTTTGCAGTTTGTGTCATGCTCTTTGTCAAAATGTAGAGTTTGCGGAAAGCTGATCTTCATAGCTCCGTCGACCTGCTGGGCTATCGAAGTCCGATGTCCGCACAGTAGCTGATTCATTCAACGCCGCCTCGACAGAACACTACCTGTTAACAAATATCAGTTTCATTTGAGGCATTTCTGTAAAAAACAGCTGGTTCATCTTATATAATATATTTTTTGATAAGCTCATTGCTTTTCATGGTGCTACGTTTTAGGGTAATAGTATATTCAAATCATAAAAATTGGGGCATAACCAGTTTGAGTGTGTCGAAACATGTGCAATTTACATACTTGAAGTTTTTTTAATTATGGGAATGACTCAATGTTGTCTTGACTCATTATGATATCGTTATCAATCTGAACTCAATCCATGTTTTCACGAAAAGCTTTGAAAATTATTTTCAAGGATGAATATTAGCCAGTAGAGAAATCCTGTATGAGGATTTCGCGCAGTTTAGGACTGGTTAACTGAATGTGTCTTCATCTGTATTGGTGTTTCCTTTGAAACTCGAATCCAGTACCTTAAGATTTAGACATCAATCTACTCTTCACTTAGCTACTGAGTTCAGTGTTATTATAAAGTATATTGTGTTGAATAACACTAAGATTCAGGTATGTCTGACTGACGAGTTCTAAGAAAGACGAAACATGTGTCGGAAACACCACTATTATATGTTATCCAACTTTATTAAAGATTTACAAATAAATAGGTATATCAAGATAATCGTCTCATGACTCTAATGTGCTAATCGAAACTGATCAATTTCGGTATATTCCATCAACAACGAAACAATATACATCTTTATAAATATCAAAAAGTAGGTTTGATACATCTAATTGTATTAGTTTAAGTATAAACAAGTCACTCAAGTTTTTATCATCTGGATGTAATCCATTATTTCAAGAAATTTGGTGGATTGGTTGAAGTTAGACATTAACGCTCTTGGATGCCGGCCCAGTGGTTTAATGGTAAGAGCTCGTGCGCGAGACTGATAGATTTTGGACTCGAATCTGGCGAGGCGGGATAGTGAATGCGCGCTGCTGAGGAGTCCCTCACTGGAACAAAACGGCCGTCCAGTGTTTTAAGATACTCCATGGAGGTCTAGCTTCAACTGATTCATGATTTCAACTATTGAACTCAATCACTATGTTTAATTAGCAATCTGTTGTACAGATGATGTCAATTAGGATTAATTATCCTTTATTCAGTGATGACTCGCCTCAGAGTTCCGTTAATTTAGTCAGTAATTTTGTATGGTTGATAAACATTCATAAATTAAAATCAATTATATCTCTATCATAAGGCGTACTAATGAAATTTAGTGAATGATAAGCTAAATAGGATGTTTAGCCATGGGTTTACATTAACTGAAGTAATAACTAACATCTACTGTCTAGTTATTAATATTTCAGAAAATACTAATGGTTTTTAATAACAAACATCAAGTACCTAGTTAACAGATAGGGGGCTTTGCGGAGATTGTAGTAATTTAATAGTTGAATTTATGAGTCGATTAAAGCTAGATCACCATGGGAAATCTGGAAGCAGTAGACATCTGCTTGTCCCAGCATGGGACTCCTCAATATGGTGCACCCACGACATCGCACGCGAACGCTTAACCTCTAGATCATTGAACCGGTACCCAACGTTTTTAATGTCTAACATCAACCAATCTACGATGTTACGCTACCGTCACCCATTATCTTCCGTGAGTTTTCGCCTCACAACAGATAAGGTTGAGCTCCAATGGTCACGGCTTCTCACTAGAAATCCAGCAAATACATCTTAAAGCCACTCACTAGTGAGCATATGATAATTTTTCTGAAAATTGTAGTAATTAAATAGTTGAATTTATGAATCTAATAAAGCTAGATCATCATGGAAAACCTAGAAGCACTGGACAGCTGCTTCGTCCTAGTGTGGGACTACTCAGTATTGCGCATCCAAGACCTAGCACACAAACGCTTTACCTCTAGATCATTGAACCGGCACCCAATGGTATTAATGTCTAACATCAACCAATCTATGATATTACGATACCGTCACCCACCGCCTCACAACAGACATCGTTGAACTCCACTGGTCAAGACTTCTCACTAGAACTCCAGCAAATAACTTTTGGAGCCACTCACTAGTGAGCACATGATGATTATTATCAGAAGGGGGGGTTGTGAAGATCATAGCAATTTAATAGTTGAATGCATGAGTCGATTAAAACCAAATCACAATGGAAAATCTAGAAAAACTGGACGACCGTTTCATTTTAGTATAGGACTCTTTAGCAATGTGTATCCACGACCTCGCACTTAGAACTCGGAACCAAAAATTTCAGTCTCGCTCACGAATGCTTAACCTTTAAACCACTAAGTCAGCATGTTAATGTTTAACTTACACAAGCAAGATCATGGATTCTTACTACTATAGAGTTTCATACATAGAAATCATAAATTACATAATCACTTATTATAAATTAAAACAAACCTCTAAAAAACTTTTCTTTTCAATAATATCATTATTTATTTGTGAAATTTTTTTATTCTCTTGTATTAAACGTTCATATTCACGTTCAATTAATTTAATTTGATGTAATTCTTCATTAATTTCTTTATCACGTAAATTACATAATGTATTGGTATATGTAATTTCTTGTTGTACATTTTTCATATGATTTTTTAATTGTTTCACTTTTGATTGTTCAAGATCTAATTGATTATTTCGTTGAAACAATTGGTTTTGTAATTCTTCAAGCTGATGTTCAGGAAAGAAATGGGATAAACACAACAACAACAACACATAAGTGTCCAAGACATTTATCTGAAACTAAATGAGGTATCTGTTGATTAATATAGGTGTTACTGATCTGTAAGTAATTCACATTATATATAATGTTCCCTGTGGTTGAGAATCACTAATAGATAGAGGTCATCCAACGTGTGAACACCGCATAAACTCGTAATATAAATTCACTTAGTTTTGGTATATGTTCATCCTGTGTGGATTGCCTCGATAATGCATTAAGTCACAAGCTTTATAAGTAAAAAAAATGGATAGTGGCTAGCAGTAGAATCCAGGATGCGTAGAGTTGATGTTTACTCCAAGATACAGGTACATCCAACCGATGAGTTCTAAATAGGACGAAATGAGTGTCAAACTTGATTCTACTGCTAGACTCTATCAATTTTACCCTATAAAGCTAGTGTTCGTAATTGTTTCTGAAAGCTCTGTGGACTAAAAAGTATCTTTTTTATTGTAGTCTTTGATAATTAGCACTATTAACCAATTTTAGTAGATTTCAAAAGTTAACAGGGCTAATGAAGTGATTATTTCGATACCACGAAATCACCACAAAATACATATTGACTACAGCCATCAACTGTCTCATGATATTTGACCTACGGGGGATCTTATCGATTAACTGGCACGTAGTCTTCTTGTAGTGGTGATAATAGTCAAACGCGGCTCGACGCCACACAAGATATTTTCATGTAAAAACTCAAGATTCAACTAAACAGATTAAAGGTAAGCCGTAACAAGAAAAATAAAAAATACAAAAAATGTGATAACCACACATATGTTACATGATTATGATAACATTCGTTTTCTTCATTGCATTATCAACATTTAACAAAGCGACCAGTAGTCCTACAGTTTCTGTGAATGTTTAACAACATACACTTATAATACACATATGCACGGCATTCTTATGGTTCATTACATCCTAAAAAATAAATAATTAATTTAGCAAGATCAAAACATTTGACTTGCTGCCACTCACAAACACCTTTGCCTTGAACGGTATTCAGACAGTAGACAAAGATCCGGAATCCCTTCTCAGGCTAAGATTCCCCACAATGGTACAGTGATTATAATCGACAAATATACACCCGTAAAAAGCGACAAATGTTTTCTAAGAGAAAAACGGGGTCAACACAAATTATTAAAGGTTTTGCTATTGTTTCTTTCCAGTTATTGCGATAGCCCTTAAACTATGTCACAGCTTTTCAAAAAAGTATCTCGCATTGTTATACATGAGTTTTGCATTCAAGTATTAAAATTGTCATCTATTTTGGCGAAAACATGTTACTTTACACTCCGATAATGCATAATGTTACTAAACTTAAAGTCGATTGTGGTAAAACATAAGATATATTTCTGAACTCTCTATCTCAGCCCACTTTAATTAACATGCTCTGTTTTTCCTCAAACCTATGGAGTAGATGCCACAAAGCATAAAGAGGACCAAAATGCTTTTCAAAGAAACCTTTTCATATCAACAGAATGCTCAGTATAATCTATAAAAACTCACACACTGCTAAAACGATGACAAGTCGATTGGGTCCTAGAGCACAGTACAATACAAGAACATAACGATGCCGAAATGTCTATTTGTAGGTTGTAAACAAAAACATTGTGTGAGTAAAACCAAATTATACCATATCAATGTTTCTCACTAAATGCAAATATTCGCGTGAAATTCACTAACATATCTAAAACGTCTTTTCACAAGTGCGTTACTTTCTGCAGTTCTAAGCTTTTCGAAGCTAATGAAAGACCTCAAACAAAGTATTCCTCTCCATCCTGTTAGACTTGTTGTTTCATTTGTGTACATACTGATAGTCCTAATTTGCTCTGCATTGCTTGTGCCGGTTAATGTAAAGCAGTGATGTAAAGCAGTTATTCATAATGTATGTACATCTCGGTTGAACTAGTAATAAAAGCACATTCAAATTTAATTTGGGGTAAGTAAACTTCTGATTTTGTTCAGCTAGATAGTATCGCGGCATCACTCTGTTAACAAACATCCGTTTATTTTGCCACCGCCCTTTTTTATACGAAGTCGCTTTTTCGTTAATTTACAAAGAAGTTCCAGCAAAACCACTGAAGTGCATTTTTAGGCATATGTCGTTAGATAAATCTTCATCCATGAACAAACAGAAATGAAAACATTCGCGTACCTTTATTATAAGCTTCTGATTTTCTTCATTTGCAACAGGAATTGCGTGAGCTTCATTCCATCCTAATTCAGCAAGAATCGTTGAAATTTGAGACTGATTCGGAGACGGCATTTTAAATTTACTCACATAGATGTTATGACAATTTTGAGCTATTGGAGTATTTAAACAAAAAGAGTACATTTTGATAGATACGATAAGTTTATTCGATAAATAATCCAGAATACTATCACACTGGCTAGAGAGTATAAGATAAGACATTCATTACCCAGGCTGACGGTTTGACCATTTAGTTTTCACTCATTACTCAAATTAAGTGACAATAATGATTCATTGATTCTAATGAAATACTGATCCTACCTTTAGGATCGTATGCTCTATGATTATTGATCTCGTAAATACAACTTAGAACTGATAAGTTGACTACGATTTGTCTGAGGTTTACTGCCCGAGCTAGTAAAGTCTGCCCATGATTTAGAATAAGTCCACATATGTGTTATAATGTAGAGGTTGCTTTTAACTCAGAAGGCCGAGTTTTTGGAATATTCATGAAAAGTTAAATATTTTTGTGAACAAATGTGTAGTCTTCGTTAAAACAAGGAAAACCAATTTCAACGAAAGGATTTTCGGAGACTTTAATAATGAACTGTACAATCCTATATCTATACACCTGCCAGAAATGTTTTGACTACATAGAAAAACTTGAAATACCTTTCATATCTTCCAAGAAAAATAAGCACATAAGTTTCACATGCATCTCTTTAGACACCCATCTAACTTTATCTGGTTTGTAGTGACTAATGAACATTTAATTCCTCACTATAAATCCCTAATGTGGCCGATAGCTGATCGATAATTGGTTATATTAACTGAAATAGGCCACAATGAAAGGTTTTCGTCTGTTTGCTACGGGTTTGAATCAAATAGAAGGCGTTTTCGGTAGTGAAACGTGTTTGTTTTGAGCCTTAGAATCACTGATGTAATACTGAGCATTATTTCACCTAATACGTCCTTAATAATATCTTGATACCGAAGATAAGCACCGTACCTAGAACGTTCACTTTAATTTAGTGAAGAAAGCCATGAGTAACTCAAACGAATGGATCAACTGGGTTGAACTAGAACACACATCAATTCGACCATAACCTGTCTACATTTTCATTTATCTGATCTCCGCCCTACAATCCACCGATCACGATTAATGGCAGCCGGATCATGGTTACCGAACCATGGTAACTGAGTGTTGTCATACTTTGAAGGTTATCAATAACATCGGTCTAAGAAGAAAATCGACTGAAAACTTAAGTATGATCGCTCATTACTGTTATTCTTCATAGAAATTCATGACTTCAAGGCTACTATAAAATGTGTATTCTAATTTTACATAAGAAATATATCCCAGTTTACATTAGACTTACAAAATCGTTTCATAACCAGTGATGCAGTTCATGGGTGTCTCATCTACAAAAATTTCGTGTACTGTATACTTCTATATTCATGGCTCTTGGCGAGAAAATGATGACTGGATAAATTTGAATTCGTCAGTCACAAATGGCAAATTTCAAATGTAGCAGAACGTGTTAAAACAGGATCATCGAGTTGTCATCAGAAAATTTGAGTTTCCTTATTCGCTCATAACGCTCTCGCAAACGAAGAAATAGGTTCTATACTATGTAGGCTGTGAGACAGTTAAGCGACTAAAAGGACGATAATCTACTTGGACACTTTTTCCTTCACACTATTCGCGCGATCCTAGATTGTCAACCTACCCTGTATGTATACGTACACCACATCCATCTTACTTAGTATCTATAACAAAGTGATGGACAAAAAGACTTAGGGGGCAATCTAAGATATGCTTTTCAACCTGAGTGAACCTGGACTTATCCCCGTCCTTGTGAGGGATCGCTCAGATGTCATATACTGCTCCACCTTTATCATTGTCAATCGATATACACCGACCCTTCAACATGGTACATACTTGTTCGAAAATGGTTATTCAAATTGCTAATACACTGAACCAGTCTTCGAACATTCTTTTGTGGTTATGGAGTGATGTGGTGAGTTTCCGAAAGTGATTCTGACCTATCTATTTTCGCTATATAGACCCTTAGCTAAAAGCGCTCCCTCAAGTTTTCATACCTATTACGTTCGGTACTCCATGATCATTTAAGATATTTTACATTGTGATTAATCAGTCTTTGATCCCAATAAAAGCGCAACTCTCAACTTTTCACTTTGCTGCTTTACGGAAGACTTGGTAGGTAGATATTCTTATCACTGACGTTTTCAAACCCTGCATATATTCAATAATTCCCGAATCACTCTGTCATCGAAAACAACATCAGATAAATAAATGGATCTACCTACTAAAAAATAACAGAACATTGACGATTTATTCTATTTTCAGTCTAATTTTTAGTCAAACCGACGAATTTTACCGCGGCAAAAGCGATCGCGGAACATCTGACAAGATGTATTGATAACGAATCGAAACCGACACGTCCTGGATAAACCGCTTCGACGTAAATACATTATTTCTTGAACGTTTTTGCGTTGCTGTTTGACTTGTTCAGTGTGGTTACTTTACTAAAACTTTTAAAAATATCGACAAAAATAACTTTATTAATTCCTAGGAATCATCAGCAAGAAAGCAGGCGATAAAACGTTTTCTCAAAGTTTCAGGCAATGGTGTGACCGCAATCTTTGACGGGCAATCGAAACACCTTCAAACTTAACCCAAAACATAGTTTGTATATTTAGATGACGCTACTTAAAATATTACAATAAACCGGAAATTAGAAAAGCTTACTGGAATGAAGTGATTTGAAAAAATATGCAATGTATCACGATTATATTTCTGTTATCTCCTTTTTTGCGTAAGATGCAGTTTCACGCTTTTAAACCAAGCTGTATAATGCTCTAGATAGAAATAATTCCCTTATCTCTGATTGCTTAAAGTTATTGGCTTACAATGTTGACAAAATGTAGCCAGGATATTTCGATACGTAACTTAAAAATGTTGTCCAATATTTATCGGGATAATGTGTGTTAAGCGTTGGCTAGTTCCTCCTTTCTATAGGTTGGCACAAAAATCTGTAGTCAGCTCCCATAGTTTACACCTAACGCGGTAAATTAATCCCCAAAATAAGCACTTGTTTAAGTCTTTGATATCGAGACCCTTGGTTAAACTTCTGGCTCACATCACCATCTGATAGGGCGTGATATATTTATCGTGCGGCGACTAGCGAACTTAGATGGTATACTTTATGTCATATTGGCATTCTAGCAAATACACCTTCAAACCATATTCATCCTTGACTTCCGGTTTATCTTAGTATGGGATATTTATTCACAAAGGTACGATGGACATCATCGGTGTAAGACACTGAGCTTTCTTGAAATTATCTGAATTTCACATTTTAGCATTTTTAGAGTCAATAAAAGGATAATCAGTTCAGTCGAACATCACCCTCAGTAACTAAAGACCGAAATTATGATAAAGTCTGAATAATACCAAAAATAAAACAAACAAAACCACCCAGTTTCATGGCTATCGAGGTTATTAGTAATTATAAGCGAGAGACCATTCACGTGACATACCGAATGCATTGGAAGCTAACGGTCTAGAACGACGTCTGCTTTCCACAGAACTTATAAATTGGGTTTTTTTTAATACAACATGAGTACCAATTAAACAAAACTTTGTTCTGTATTGATATCTTCTTTTACTAAATGAGAATATATCTAAAGCTGAAGTTCTCTTTTAGTTGATAGATTTTATTCTAATTCATTATACACTGTTGAACATTATAGAAGTAACATAATAATATCACTTTTTTCAATATGTAGTTATTATATTAATTTATTTTACGAATATCCTAATTATCATCAGCAACAGCCCACTTTAGGAGAAGACAAATCAACTTCCAGCTAAAAGGGAAATCGGGAAAAGACGTCGGAGGTGGATAGGACATACATTATGAAAATTATCGAACTTCATCACGAAACAAGCTGTAACATAAGATCCTGAAGGGAAACGTAAATGAGGAAGGTTGAAGAACTCACTTCATCGAAAATTGTAAACAGATATGAAAAGAATAAATAACAACTGGAAATGTTTGCTGATGACAGTGTTTAATAGTGCATGCTCGTAGGCTCCCTATGCTCCTCCACGAGGGGTAACTGGTATAAGTAAGTAAGTATAATTAACATTACAAATAGTATTATCTCTAGCATAGATTATAATTGGATGTTGTGGGAGAAAAAACATTGTAAAAGCAGTATGCTTCTTATTAGATGATCAACTAATATCAATCTTTACGATGAATACTTCACTTGAATTGAACATTGTATATTATTCATTCAAAGAAACTGTTGTCATACACATGACAAGACTATAGATTTTATTTAAATTTTTTTCGTAATTTCATTCCCAAGTTAATATTTATTATGTTATATCCCCATGAGAATTATGAATGGTGCCTCCCGGATAGTGGGACTCAGTCTCATGAATTAACGTAAGTGATAACCCTGATGGTAAAGATCGGGCTAATCATCCACTCGACCGATACTCACAAACTGATTACGAAAGCCACAAAGAATCACGGCACAATTACTGCTAGACCAAAAAATGACCAAAAATTTACAAAAGTGATGCATGGAATGTATGGTGTTTCCCCCCTAAAGGTTAAACTTCAACCGAATGCAAAAACAGCTATTCTAGCTCCAGTAGTTATGCCGCACTTCGATATGGCCTGTTTTTATCCAGAAAAGCCTACTAGTTTTTCCAAACTTGTTTAGCTGAAAAGGGCAAGCGAACTATTCATATTCGTTTTCCTCTTATCATAAGCATTATTTTGACCCATAGACTATTATTATACAATTTGCCGTTCTTGAGTTATACCCAATCTATTAGTTACGGTCTCCCACATTCATAGGCATATTTGAACAGATCATGTTCAAATGTTGTTTTCTATGTTTATGGCACGATGCGGTTTGTATGGTTTGTATATAAACCTAGTATGTTTAAAATACATGATTCATATCGTAGAGCCAGAGATTAGTGTTCTGAACTTCAATAGGCAGGGCTAAGCCGGAAACGGAACCGGTAA